TTTTGACAAAAGAGTAAAGGTCTCAGCCTTTAATTTTAAGATGAATGAGAATAACTTCGGGCAGGAGAGTTTACTATTGCTCAGTGTCAACATACGAAAAAAGGAAAAATGATGTGTTTGGTTTGACTAATTTCATCAAATTATAACTTTTTTTTTTTCCTTTAACAACATGGCTAAAAGATTAGCCTATAGGCTAATTTTAATTTAAATTATTAAATTACAATTAAAAAATGTTCTATTAGTTATTAATTGTTTTCTAAGAGCAAAGCAAATAGAGCGTATAATATTGGCCAAGAAATAAGGACCTCTCCAATTAAAAAAATTAAAGAATAGAAAACGTTGTTTTCACTGAACCTGAATCTTAATCAATCAAATTTTATCGGCATATTAATTAATTAATTAGAGAATAAACATGAACTTCCATCATTCTTATAGAATTTCAATGAACAGAACCTTCTTCCTAAATTATATATTCAGGGTTCACAGAACAGGTAGTAAATGTGCAGCTAAGTTTTCATGTATAATAATATAAGTAAATATATAAATTATTCTCAAATTTTTTATTGTAGAAAAAATGATAATTATTCAAAGATAAATGGAGTATTTTTTTTGTTACAAAAGTTTAAAGGTCTCAGCCTTTAATTTTAAGAAGAACAAGAATAACTTCGGGCAGGAGAGTTTGCTATTGCTCAATGTCAACATACTAAAAAAGGAAAAATGATTTGTTGGGCTTGACTAATTTCATCAAATTATAACCTTTATTTCGTTTAACAACGTGGCTAAAAGATTAGCCTATAGGCTGATTTTAAATTATTAAATTATAAATATAAAATGTTCTTTTAGTTATAGTTGTTTCCTAAGAGCAAAGCAAATAGAGCATATAATATTGGTTAAAAAATAAGGACCACTCCAATTAAAAAAAATTAAAGAATAGTTAGATGATTCCCTCGTTGTTAAAAAAAAAAATGATTCCCTTAACTTAAAAATAACATTTTTTTCATAAATATGGATAACTCATGATTTATCTATTTTATTTTTTATATAAAAAAAGAAAAAGAAAACAAAAAAAAAAAAAAAAAAAAAGAGGAGGAAATGTTCATTGTCTCAATGGAGTTGCTCCCCGTACGCGGATCCACTTTCTATTAGCAAAAACGTTGTTTTCACTGAACCTGAATCTTAATCAATCAAATTTGATCGGTATATTAGTTAACTAATTGGAGAATAAACATGATCTTCCATTAACCATTTTTATTGAATTTCAAAGAACAGAACCTTCTCCCTAAATTATGTATTCAGCATCCACACAACAGGTAGTAAATGTGCAGCTAAGTTTTCAAGTATAATAATAAGAGTAAATATATAAATTATTCTTAAATTTTTAATTTTAGAAAAAATGATAATTATTCAATGATAAATGGAGTATTTTTCTGTGACAAAAGAGTAAGGGTCTCAGCCTTTAATTTTAAGATGAATGAGAATAACTTCGGGCAGGAGAGTTTGCTATTGCTCAATGTCAACATACGAAAGAAGGAAAAATGATGTGTTGGGTTTGACTAATTTCATCAAATTATAACCTTTTTTCCCTTTAACAACATGGCTAAAAGATTAGCCTATAGGCTAATTTTAAATTATTAAATTACAAATATAAAACGTTCTTTTAGTTATTAGTTGTTTTCTAAGAGCAAACCAAATAGAGCATATAATATTGGTTAAGAAATAAGGATCACTCCAATTAAAAAATATTAAAGAATAATTAGATGATTCCTTCGTTGGCCCAAAAACAAAAATGATTCACTTAACTTAAAAATAACATTTTTTCATAAATATAGATAACTCATTCATCTATTATATTTTTTATAAGAAAAAAGAAAAAGAAAAAAAAAAAAGAAAAAAGGAGGAAATGTTCATTGTCTCAATAGAGTTGCCCGTACGTGGATCCACTTTCTATTAGCAAAAACGTTATTTTCACTGAACCTAAATCTTAATCAATCAAATTTTTTGGCATATTAATTAATTAATTAGAGAATAAACATGAACTTCCATTAACCATTCTTATACAATTTCAATGAACAGAACCTTCTTCCTAAATTTTATATTCAGGGCCCACACAACAGGTAGTAAATGCGCAGCTAAGTTTTCATGTATAATAAACATATATACATTTTCTTAATAATCTCACATATTCTACTATGATTTCTGCCTATAAATACATTCCAGTTCATCGCCACTTCAATTCCTCATCACCATTCATCATGGCAGCGTCTGTAAACCATCAGTCCTTGTTATCTTTCCTTTCTGTTACCATAATCATCTTCATTCTTGGTCTCACTGGATTCTCCTTTACTAGAGCTCAAACTCGCGGCTTTAGTGCTGAACTTATCCATCGCGATTCCCCAAAGTCACCCTTTTACAACCCTTCAGAAGTTCACTCTGAACGCCTGTCTAAAGCCTTTCACCGTTCCATTGCTCGTGTGTCTCACTTTAAAAGTCCACCTGTTTTCTCAAAAAATCTACCCGAGTCTAATGTCATGTACGGTGGTGGTGGCGAATACATCATGAATATTTCAATAGGTACGCCCTCGGTGGAGATTGTGGCGATAGCTGACACTGGAAGCGATCTTATTTGGACCCAATGCAAGCCTTGTTCTCAATGTATCCGGTCAAATGCTCCTCTCTTCGATCCCGACGCTTCCTCCACTTACAAACCTCTTTCATGTTTTTCCTTTCTTTGCAAAATTATAGAGCCTTCAACAGCTAGGACCTCTTGCCCCGCCAAACCGGGTGACAATACTTGCTTATACTCGTACGGATATGGAAGTGGCTTCTCATCTGGGGATCTTGCCACTGAAACACTCACGTTGAGCTCTGAATTGGGTTCGCCAGTAATCCTTCGGAAAACTTACATTGGCTGTGGAAGGGACGATCGTGGAACTTTCAATCCTGTAGAATCTGGCATCATTGGCCTTGGGGGTGGTGCTCTTTCGCTTGTCTCCCAATTGGGTACTTCAATTGCAGGTAAATTCTCATATTGCTTGGTGCCTAGTTATGCCAAGCCCAACACATCAAGCAAAATACATTTTGGTAAAAACGCCGTGGTTTCAGGTCTTAGCGTGGTCTCTACTCCTTTACTCAAGAAGTACCCACAAGCACGAAATACCTTCTATATTCTTAACTTGCAGGCAATAAGTGTTGATGATCTTAGAATAAACTTTACTGGATCTATTATTGAAACAACGTTGGAAGGTAACTTCATTATCATCGACTCAGGCACACCATTAACAATCTTACCATCTGCTTTTTACACAAAATTGGAATCATTGGTCGCTGGTAAGATTCGTGCCAAACAAGTTTCAGACCCTAATCAAGATTTTAATCTCTGCTATGAAATTAAATCTGATTTCAAAGTGCCAAGAATCACAGTGCATTTTGATGGTGCTGATGTGGATTTGGCTCCTCTTAACGCCTTCATTTCGGTATCTGAGAAAGTTCTGTGCTTTGCCTTTGCACCTGATGATGGTGGGATGGCAATATATGGCAACATTGCGCAGACAAACTTCTTGATTGGGTATGACACAGTGAAGCAAACTTTGTCTTTCAAGCCAAGTGACTGCTCCACACAGTAGTTCCCCACCGTCTTTTGTCTATCACATGTAATTTTCTAATTTTCAATAAAAGTTTCTTCGTTTGGCAAATGCTAAACTTTCTATATGTTTCAATTGAGTAAACTACACAAATGGTCACTGACTTTCACTATAACTTTTAATTTGATCACTCTCCTTTTAAATTTGTAATTGTGGTCACCCATGCCACCTTTATTTTAACGTGCTCGTTAATCACCCTTATTTATCTCCTCAAAAGCAAAAACAAGATATAAAGATGTAGAACACTTGCGTATAAAAACGAGGAACAGCAATAAGAGCATTCACAATGTTGGTAATAATATTTCCATATGGTGGAGGGTAAGCGTATCTGCAACAGCAGTCAACTTTACTGAAGACATATACCCTATTCCGCGAAGGAATTATTATGATAGAAGAAACAGAATGCATATAAAACAAGTATTTCTCCAACTCAATCTATTAAATCATGTTTTCTAGAAATTTTCAGAAAAATATACTTTATCCATTTCCAGAAAAAGAAAAAAAAGGGGAAGTTTATGCATTGATTGGACTTTTATTATATTTTAAAATAAATAAATATTTTTTCTCACTTTTTATTTTATATTTTTTCGCTTAGTTTTGATTATCCATCCTAACACTAATGGTCTCTCTTTTATCTCTTTGACTTTCTTAAGGAAGATACAGGTAAAAATCTAAATTAGTTAATCTAGGCAATTTTTTTTTATAAAAAAAATACACTAATGCCTCTATCTCAAAATAATTATCTTTTTTTACTCAAAATTGGTCATAAATTAATTTTTGCTTCATTTCTAAGGTAGATAATTTTCTCCTTTTTTTTTGTAATTTAAACCTATTGTTATCACTTAATTTTAATTGCCTACTTTATCACCAAAAATTTTATCTCTATTGGTGTGAATACATAAATTATTATCAAAATTTTAAATTTAGAAAAAATCTAAAAATGATAATTATTTAAAGATAAATAGAATATTATTTTGTAAAAAAGAGAGTAAAGGTCTCAGCCTTTAATTTTAAGATGAATGAGAATAACTTTGGGAAGGAGAGTTTGCTATTGCTCAATATCAACATACGAAAAAAAGAAAAATGATGTGTTTAATTTGATTAATTTTATTAAATTATAAGTTTTTTGTTTTCCTTTAATAACATGGCTAGAAGATTAGCCTATAGGATAATTTTAAATTATTTAATTATAAATATAAAATATTCTATTAGCTATTAGTTATTTTTAACAGTTGAAGCAAATAGAACATATATAATATTGGTTAACAAACAAGGACCACTCCAACTAAAAAATATTAATGAATAACTAGATGATTCCCTTGTTAGACAAAAAAAAAATGATTCCCTTAACTTAAAATTAACATTTTTTTCACAAATATGGATAACTCTATTTTTATAAATAAAGAAAAAAAAAAAAAAGAAAAGAAAAGGAGGGAATGTTCATTTTCCTCAATAGAGTTGCTCTGTACGTGGATCCACTTTCTATTAGCAAAAACGTTGTTTTCACCGAACCTGAATCTTAATCAATCAAATTTTATTGGCATATTAATTAATTAAAGAATAAACATGAACTTGCACTAAGCCTGCTTGCAGAATTTCAATGAGCAGAACAGTCTTCCTAAATTATATATTATGAGCGGTACAAGGCAGTAATTTTGCAGGCTTTCGCGAATAATAAATATACATACATTCTTAATTACCTCACATATTCCACTATGCTTTCTGCATATAAATACATTCCAGTCCATCGCAACTCTACAATTCTCACCATTCATCATAGCAGCAATATTTGTAAGCCATCAGTCTCCGTTATCTTTCCTTTCTGCTACCATAATCATCCTCATTCTTTGTCTCACTGGCGTCTCCTCGACTAAGGCTTAAACTCGCGGCTTTAGTGCTGATCTAATCCATCGCGATTCCTCCAAATCACCCTTTTGCAACCCTTCAGAAACACGCTCTCAACGCTTGTCTAAAGCCTTCCAACGTACCATTGCCCGTGTGTCTCACTTTAAACGTCCATCTTTTGTCTCAAAAAATCTACCCTAGTCTAATGTCATGTCCGATGGTGGAAGCCAATACATCATGAATATTTCAATAGGTACACCCCTGGTGGAGATTGTGGCCATAGCTGATACTGGAAGCGATCTTATTCGGATCCAATGCAAGCCTCGTTCTCAATGTTTCCATGCTCCTCTTTTTGATCCAAACACTTCCTCCACTTACAAACCCCTTTCATGTTTTTCCTTTATTTGCAAACTTATAGAGCCTTCAACAGCTGGGACCTTTTGCCCCACCAAACCGCGCGGGTGACAATACTTGCGTGTATTTGTACGATTGTGGAAGTGGCTCCACATCTGGTGATCTTGCCACTGAAACACTAACGTTGGGTTCTGAATCAGGTTCGCTAGTAGTCTTTCCATTACTAGAAAGTGTTGATATTCAGACCCACATAATTCAGACCAGTTAACATCGGTCTGGAAAAATAATAATAATAAATTATTCAGACCACAATTAATCTGAATATTTATTGATATGAAATTCGTGATGAGTTTATGATGTTCACACCGTAAATGGTTTAAAAGTTATTGGCACCAATACAGTAAAAAGGCACCAAACATTTTCCTAACAACTATGGTGTGAATATTTTCACTCAAACAAATAAAATGCTAGGCAATTAAAGTGACAGGATTTTTTTTCCATATTTCCTGACCGACTATGGTCTGAAAAATTGCAAGATAATTTTTGAAGTTAAGTGATATTTAAAATGTAGTGTATTTTAGATATATGTAAACCAAAAATGGTATGGAAAATGGCAACAGAAAAATGTAATTTTCTTGACCAACTTCCATCTGGAAAATTACACCAGAAAAAAGTGGCAGGAATTTTTTTCTTTCTCCATATTTCCAGATCAACTATGGTCTGAAAAATGGTAAGATAATTTTTGAAGTTAAATGATATTTAAAATGCAATCTATTTTGCATATATGCAGATCAAAAGTGGTCTGAAAAATTGCAACAGAAAAATGCAATTTAATCTAGACCAACTACGGTCCAAATAAAGTTAAGTTTCTAGACCAATTATGGTCCAGAAAAGCTGGACCCATGTACATCTAGTTGAGATGATGTTGGGTTAGTTTTTGGCCCATTGTCAGACAATTAAAGGTCTGAAAAGAAGAAGTCTAAACTCTTCTTGTTCCTCCATCCCTTCACCTGTTTCCCATTTCAACTTCTCATTTTCTTTCCATGTTTTTGTCATTTTCTGCATCTGTTTCTTCCTCGATCATCAACCTGTCATCCACAAAGGTAAGGGTGATTTTCTGACCAGTTAGATGTCGAAAATTAGTCCCTTTAATTTTTTTTTTAATTTTCAACATTTTCACCTTTTTTTTTTTTTTTTGAAATTTAGCACTTTCCACCCGGATCTTGTAATCTAAGGTCATCCTCATCATCATTTATCTCCTATCTACACCCTAAGTGAGGTGTTTTTTTTTCGAATTTTTCTTGAATTTTTCTGTATTTTTTAGGAAATTAAAAAGATTTAATATTGATTAAATAATATTGTAAAATAGATGTTGTTTGTGTAGATATATTTAGTTGTTTAATAATGAGTATGGTGTAAAATTTTATGATACAGACAAAATAATAGAAATTTGCATTTTACTTACTTTTATATAAGTAATTTATAAATTTTGCCACCTAAGGTCATCCTCACTGTCATTCATCTTTGATCTACACTCTAAATGAGCTTTTTTTGTTATTTTTTTTCATTATTTTGAATTTATCTCGTATTTTTTTGTATTTTTTTGGAAAATTAATAAAATTTAATATTGATTAAATAAAACTGTAAAATAGATATTGTTTGTATAGATGTATTTGGCTGTTTAATTGTGAATTTTGGTGTAAAATTTTATAGTATAGAAAAAATACTAGAAATTGGTATTCTAGTTATTTTTACAATAGTGATTTATAATAAATTTGGTAAAGTAGCCATCAGTCCTACCTCCCAACAAAATTTGGAGTCCCAACAAAAAACGACGTCGTTCTCTTAAACCCAGCCCTTCCCCTTTGCCTTTCCCTTTTTTGCCTTTGCCTCTTCTGCAATCATCTCCATTACCCTGCCAAAGTCTTTTTCCTCACCCTGACTTTGGGCCTTCTCTCTCTCATCTCCCGAGCCTTCATTTCAGCCAGCAGCCATCAAAGGCGATCAAGCCCTACTGCGCCCCCTCGCTTGCTGCACCTGAGCCTGTGCCCTGCTGCACCCTGCTATGCCTTGCTACACCCTGCTGCGCCTCCTGCACTCTACGCCCCCAATCCTGCGCCTCTGCACTCTTGCTTGCTACAGCCCTGTCCTTGCCTCACCTAAAAAAAAAAACAGCCCATACCAGACAAAATCGGCTTCATCTTTGTCCTCTACTTTTGCTGCAAAGATCAGTGATTGATGGAAGAAGTTTTTATTTTATTTTATTTTTTTTATTTGGGTATATATATAGGAAAAAATCAGATCAAAGAGGGGGTCTTTGGTTGATTTCCGAGTTTGATTTGGGAGTCTCCGTCTGGGTTTTGAGAGTAGTAGAGGGAGACTTCGAGGAGGAGAAAGGGGGATTTTTGCTTGCTTGAGTGTGGTGTTGACGGTGGAGAAGAGGAAAGTTTTTTTTTCTTTTACTGGAAGGAGACTGTTTGAGAAAGGAGATTGTCAAGTTGCAAGAGGGATTTCATCTTTGGTTCCCATTGTTAGGTATGAGAGAGTCCATCTGAAAAATTGGAGGAATTGGAGGAACCGATGGAGATAGAGATGGAAATGATTGCAAAAGAAGTGAAAAAAAGCAGGGGTTACAGTCGACGGGGAAGATGAATTGCAGTGGAATCGGAGGATACGGAGGAGCCGATGGAGATGAGAGGCGATGGAGAAGGAATCGGAGATAGAGATGGAGATGATTGCAAAAGAGGCAAAGGCAAAAGAGGCAAAGGCAAAAGAGGGAAAGGCAAAGGGGAGGGGCTGGGAATAAGAGAACGACGCCGTTTTGGGTTGGGACTCCAAATTTTTTTGGGAGGTAGGACTGATGTCCACTTTACCGTAATAAATTAATATTATAAAATATATTTGTATATATTTTTAATTGTTTGTATAGAATTATTTTATTATTTGATTGTAAATATTGTATAAAATTGCATATTATAAAAAAATGTATAGAAATTTGTTTTGTAATTATATTTTAAGTAATTAATTTATAATAATTTAATAATATTAATATAATTTTAATATTAAAAAATATATTTTATATTAGTATTATATATATATTCTTTTTAGAACTTAGACTAAGGGTCTTGTAAGGATAGGTCTGATGTACCCAACCTCGGACATACGACAGTAATTCTTTTATAACTGAAGTGAAGGATAATTCCAACACTTCTCGCTCAAACAGTTGCATGACAGGGACAATAAGCGTGCCTGCACCTGATTCCTTATATCTCTCGCATTTGAATATCTCTCAATTTCCTGATCTCGAAACAACCGTCGAAGAGACACGTCAGACTCCGATTATCTTGCTTGACATGCCACATGGGTTCCTCACTGAAACCTATAAATACCCCCCCAGGGGCCACGTCGAAAAGGTAATTGAAACCATCCTAAAGCTCCTTTTTCATTAGTCCAAAGATAGACCCAATTATTGCTGACTTAAGTATCGGAATGTCTATCTCGAGGACCCACCTCGGGGCTTTGCAAGTTCATCCGAAATGAAGACACAGATTGAAGAAGGATCTCTGGTTTGGTGCAATTACATTTGGCGCCGTCTGTGGGAAACCGAACTAAAAGCTTTCTTGTTTCTCTCTCATCATGGTTAACAGTTGATTAGTCCGAGCTGGAAATCCATCTCTGCCTTTTGGACAAAGTCAACTCCCCAACAATCTCCCACCTCTCCTCCCACCTCAGATCCCAAATATGTTCCCTTCTGTTGATCATGTAGAAGAAGGAGATGAAAACCAACCTCACAACTCAGCTCACAACTCAGCTTCCACCGCCAACCAAGACATAGTTACAACTCAACTTGCTACCATGCAACAACAGTTTGGTGTCTTTCAGTTAGTATTGGCTTAACTCTTGGCTCGAAACAACCCTGGTGATCCCCTCATCAATTTACTCAACTCTGCTCCACAACCCCCAGCTCCACAGCAAGACCCTCAGCCAGCTCAACATGCTCTTGCTCTTAGTGAATTTCAGGGTCAATCTCACATAGCACCAGCTCAGCAACCCTTTCTTGATGATGTCATTCGACGTTTGGATAGTTTAGAAAAATTGGTAGCAGAATAGTGAGGTGTCCCACCTCCACACCATACTACTAACTCCATACCACATCCTCTGAACACCAACATCACATTGGAACCTTACCCCACTGGCTTTAAAATACCTCAACTTGAGACTTATGATAAGACGAAGGATACCGAGGATCACTTACATGCTTTCTACTCTTGTATGCAAGCTCAGAACGCCTCTGATGCGTTGATGTGCAAAATCTTTCCCTCTACTCTTCGAGTTAACGTTTGAACCTGGTATTACAGTCTACCTCCGAGGTCGATCAGCTCTCATATATAAATGGCATCTACTTTTGCCACAAAGTTTTCTAGTAGAAGGTTGATCAGGAAAACTACATCTGAACTAATGCGAGTTAAACAGAGGGACGGAGAATCTTTGAAGAATTATATGAGTAGATTCAATGATGCAGTACTGAAGGTTAGCTCTTTCGACCGGCTGTGGGAATTATAGCTGTGATCTCAGGTCTTAACCATGAGAGATTCAGAGATAGTTTGCTCAAACATCCTACCACCACCTTTAGCGAGATGAATGATAGATCACTAAAATTCATAACTGCTAAAGAATATGCCTTGTCACAAAAGCTAGCCCCTTCTAAGAACTAAAACCCAAACTGGAGAGATGAGAATCAGAGTAGGAAACGAATGAGGACAATACAGAACCGAGGTCCGATGTCGACCCCACATCGAGATTCGAAAGGCTGAACTCAGCACCTCCACAACAGTCTGCAGGCAAACCTCCAATTACTTGGACTCCTTTTAACTTGCTGAGGTCACAAATCTTCGTGCAGATTAAGAATAAGATGGACTTAAGGTGTCCTGGCCCAATGAGAACTGCTGATACCAACCGAGATCATACTAGATATTGTGATTTTCATCAAGATCACGATCATACAACAGAGTAATGCAATAGTCTGAGGTCCAAGCTGGAAAGTCTAGCTCAGAAAGGAATGTTGAATGAGTACATCCATAGAGTTGAACAGCCAAGATTTGTCAGGGAACAGGGGCCACAGCCTCAAGGAATTCGTAATCCACCAATCAGGTAAGGAGTGGGACATCAACAAGCCCCACCTCCACTTCCATCACCAGCTAGAATTATACACATAATTACAGGAGGATTGGAAGAAGGGGGGTCGAGCTCCAAACAGAGAAAGTTGTATGTTAGAGAAGTAAAGCATCAGAACCGAGCTTAGAAACAAAAGTTTGATGATGCTGATTGGAAGAATCAACCTATTACTTTCACATCTGTTGATTTTGACACAATTGTCACACCTCACAATGACCCTCTGGTCACTTGTGTCATGATTAACAATTGTGAGGTGCAACGTGTCCTTGTTGACATAGGGAGTGCACCGGACATCATGTACTTCCACTGTTTTGAGAGTCTTGGGCTGGATCCATCTTTGTTGCAGCGGTACGATGGTCCCATCTATGGATTCAACAACCAACCAGTTCAAGTAGAAGGAGTTCTAACCCTCAATGTTGCTTTTGGGAATAGCCGAACGTATGTCACCCCTTCAGTTTGGTTTCTAGTCGTCAAGATGGCGTCCTTTTTCAATGTTGTCATTGGACGACCCACGCTGACCGAAATCCGAGCTGTGGTTCCCCAATCTCACCTCTGTATGAAGTTCCCAACTCCTATGGGGATAGCAACACTACGGGGCAACCAGGAGGTGGCTAGACATTGCTATATCACCTCGGTCATAAGACCTCACAAAGACAAAGAACAGACGCCAGAAGCTATTCCCCAACAGATTCTTGACAATCAGAAAGTCATCAAGGTTGAGATAGTAGACAACTGACCTGAAGATGAAGCCAGAGCCACTCCAGTCGAGGATGTCGATGAGGTGCACATTGACGACAGAGATCCAATCCGAAAGATGCAAATTGGAACTCGATTGAGCCCGGAGGAAAGAATAGAGATAATAGCTTTTCTTCGCGCTAACAACGATGTCTTCGCTTGGACTTCGGCAGACATGCCAGGAATTCCAACCTCGGTATCCCAACATAAGCTTAGCACCAATCCATTGAAGAAACCAGTAGCCTAGAAGCAACGTCTCTTCAGGGGGGAGAGGCTTCAGGGGGGAGAGGCTTCAGGTCATAAAGGAAGAGGTAGAGAAGCTTCTACAAGCTGGTTTCATCAGAAAAGTTAATTATTGTGAATGGGTGGCTAACCTAGTGCTGGTGAAAAAGGCAAATGGTAAATGGCAAATGTGCATTGACTACACAAATCTCAACTAAGCTTGCCCCAAGGACTGCTATCCGATGTCGAGCATTGACAAATTGGTTGAAGCGGCTTCAGGAAATGAGGGATTAAGTCTCTTGGATGCATATTCTGGGTATCACCAGGTGCCAATGGCTCCAGAAGATGAAAAGAAAACCTCGTTCTATGCTAGTGACGAAATCTATTGCTATGTCATGATGCCGTTTGGCTTAAAGAACGTAGGTGCTACTTATCAGAAAATGGTGACCATCGTCTTCTATGCTCAAATCGGCAAGAATCTGGAGGTTTATGTCGATGACATTATGGTAAAGAGCCTGAAAGTAGAAGACCATCTAGCTAATCTTGATGAAACTTTCAACAATCTCAGAAAGAATAGAATGCGGTTAAACCCAGCCAAATGCATCTTCGGCTTGGAGTCTGGCAAATTTATAGGCTTCATGGTTTCCCGAAGAGGGATTGAGGTCAATCCAGAAAAGATCAGAGCAATTGCTGAGATGGAACCGCCGAAGTCAGTGAAAGATATACAGAGGTTGATTGGAAGGGTGGCAGCTCTTCATAGGTTCATATCGAAGTCAACAGATAAGTGCTTGCCATTTTTTAATATCATGAGGTTAGCCGCCTAGAAAGACGAATAAGGTAAATAGAAGAAGTTTGAATGGAATCAAGAATGCCAAGCCACATTTGAAGAGCTGAAGTCTTACCTTAGCTCACCACCTCTACTGACTAAGGCTATAGATGGAGAGATTCTCTATTTGTATCTGGGAATTTCGGATGAAGCCATTAGTTCGGTTTTGGTGAGAGAGGAAGCCAAACAACAAAAGCCAATCTATTACATTAGCAACGTGCTACATGGTGCAGAATTGACATATCCTATTGTTGAGAAAGCAACATTAGCAGTTGTCACTTCGGCCAAGAAGCTGAGGCCATATTTCTAGTCACATCCAGTCATCGTCCTTACAGACCAACCTCTTCGATAGATTCTGCAGAAGCTGAAGTGCTTTGGAAGATTAATTAAATGGGCAGTAGAACTAGGGGAATTCGAGATAACATTTCAGCAGAGATCTGCAATCTGAGCTCAAGCACTAGCGGATTTCATCGTAGAATGCACTCCATGTCACTTAATCCCTGATACCGAGCCCAATGATTGGACCTTATATATTGATGGAGCATCTAGTAGCAAGGGTTCAGGAGCTAGTGCTCTCTTAATTGGCCCAGATGGATACCAGAGTGAACATGCTCTGAAATTTAACTTCGATACAACAAACAATATGGCTGAGTATGAAGTCCTGTTACTTGGTCTGCAACTAGCATTGGAGTTGAAAATTAGGGCGATCCAAGTGTACAATGACTCCCAGCTGGTGGTTAATCAAATCAACTCAATCTGCGAAGTTGTTGATCCTGTGATGGTGAAATATGTAGCCCTAGTGGCCAAACTGAAGTGCAAATTCCAGAAATTTTGTCTGAGCAAAATTCCTCGAACTGAGAATGAATAGGCAGATTCACTCTCTAAATTTGCCTCTGATAGCTCTTTAAGCTCCAGATCAGTGTTTGTGGAAGTCTTAGATGAACCAAGCTTCATGAAGCCACGAATGATGGAGATCAGCACAGACCCGAACACGCCGAGCTGGACTGACCCAATTATCTCCTTTTTACAAGACGGAATAGCACCTGAGGACAAGCAAGAGGCAATGAGGTTGAGGAAGAAAGCATCTTGGTATACACTCGTTGACGGAGTCCTCTATAAGAGATCTTTCTCACTCCCTCTTCTACGGTGCTTGAATCCCTATAAAGCTGAGTACGCACTTTGGGAGGTACATGAAGGTGTCTGTGAGACCATATTGGTGCTAGAACTCTGGCTCATAAAGTTTTAAGGCAGGGATATTACTGGCCAAACATATACAAAGATGCTACTCACTTTGTTCAAAGATGCTACTCACTTTGTTCAAAGATGCCCGAAGTGCCAATTCTTCACACATCTGACTCACCAACCAGCAGAAGAGCTCACGAACTTGGTAGCACCATGGCCTTTTGCTCAGTGGGGACTGGATCTTTTAGGCCTATTCGTGAAAGGGGTTGGTGGTGTAACTCATTTGATTGTTGGTGTGGATTATTTTACAAAATGGGCTGAAGCTAAGCCATTATCCAGTCTTACCTCCAAGAAGGTCGAAGACTTTGATTTCAGCTCAATCATCTGCAGATATGGGATCCCGAATCAGATTGTGCCTGATAATGGAACTCAGTTCAATTGCTCTTCATTCTGAGATTTTTGTTCCAGCTACGGGATCAAATTGCAGTTCACCTCAGTTTACCATCCAAAGTCCAATGGTATGGTAGAATCTGTTAATAAAGCCATCTTAGAAGGAATAAAGCCAAGGTTGGAACAGCACAAGGCTAGGTGGGCAGACGAGCTTAACAACGTCCTCTAGGCATACAGAACAACGAGCCGAACTGCCACAGGTACTATTTCCAACCCAAGTTCCTTTCATTCTATTTTCATTCTATCTCACTTCCTCACTTGCGACTTTACCCTAGGTCAAATATGCATAAAATGTAAAGCATATTCTAAAGAATATAATTTCATGAAATAGGTGAAACACCCTACCACCTGGCCTTTGGTATCGAAGCAGTTATTCCTATTGAAATAGGAGTCCCAAGCTTCAGGGTCACCCATTTCGATGAAGGACGAAATGGATAGCTGCTTCAGGAAAACATTGATATGCTTGCCTAAGTCAAAGAAGAAGCACTGCTTCGAACTCTTGTATATAAGCAGAAATTAGCCAATTTCTACAACAAACGAGTTCGCCCTCGAACATTTAAAGTAGGAGGCCTTGTTCTCAAAAAGACTGGTCTAACAGGGTTTGAAAGTTGTTTTGGCAAACTGGCCCCAAATTGGGAAGGCCCTTATATAGTGGCTGAGGTGCCATATCCTGCTGCCTATGTCCTCCAAGACGCTAAAGGGAAGAGAGTTCCTAGAGTCTAGAATATCAATAACTTGAAGAAATTTTACTCTTAATAAACTTCTTTCAAGTGATCTATGTCTTATTGCTCTTTATACTTATTACTTCGCGATTGTTAAGATTCATTTTACCTCTTATTATGTGTATCCGAGGTCAATCTGTTTAATACTCATTCCTTGAATTACACTCCTATTAATAAATGTCACTTCGTACATGAAGTGCTTTATTTCTTTTTAATTCATCTGAAGTGATTTACTTATTCTTAATTCGTTTGAAGTGGCTTTTCTTTAGTTCACTTCTGAAGTGATTAACTCCTTTTTATTTCATCTTTGAAATGATTAACTTTCCTTCAAAACATACCCAAAGTAATCTCAGTTCTTCTATCAATATAAAACAACAAAAACGTAAAGCAAACACAACACATGATTTCAAAAATAAAATTTTCATTCAAAGTAATAAAAATATTACAACAAATTATTTTACTGATATTACAATAACAATATCAAAGAAAAATTAAAAAACAAAAATCATTTATTCCTCTACTGGAAGAGGTGGCTGAACTAGCTGCTGCTAAGTTGGAAAAGGTAGCTGTGTTGGCTGCTGCTCGTCTAGCAGAGGAGGCTGCTCATCGTTAGAAGGAATTGAATGAATCTCCACTAGCTAAGGTGGTTGACTCTCCTCCACTTCAATTCCTTCCACTCCTGCCCCCACTTCATTTTCCCCTACCTCTGCCTCTTCTTTCTTCACTACAACGAACTCGAAGTCGAAACTTGGAGGGAAAACAGTGCATCCGTCTGCATCACGATCCCACCTCAGTTTGATCTAAGGACGGAAGTTTGCTGAAATGCTCTCACCATTCTCCTCCACTCCCTCTTCTTGCTCGCCGAAGGTGATCTTTGTAATATCCACCTCGGGATATTCAGCCTTCACCTTCTTTTTGCAATCTGTGAAGGCAAGGATGGTAGTTGGCAGCCGGTAAAGGTTGACGATGTTGTCAAACGAGCTGGAGCTGATGAAGTTGGTGATGTGTTCCTCCATCCCATTGTGCACCAACAGCTGCATATTCTTCTTCAGCTCCACCACAGCTTCCTTCATTAGCTTTATCTCTTTCTCTTGAGCCTCACGCTCGCTTTCAAAAAATTTTCGTTTGCTCTCTTCAAAGATGAGCTTAGTGCTCAGGGAAGCCCTCTCCTACTCTAGCTGCTTCACAGCTGGAACCACCTTGTCCAGCACCTCTTGCATCTCTTTATTTTTCTTCTCCAGTTCTTCCTTCTCCTTCTACAGCTGGTCACATTGCCTTTGCAAAAAGGAGCACTCCTTCACACTCTCCATGAACTCTTGGGCTAGACCATTCACCTAGCTCGTGCTTTGCAATTCAAGCAGAAGTTGAAAAAAAAAAAAAAAAAAACAAACAAACAAAACCAACAAATACAAGTAAATTAACTTAACATACCTCCAAAACATGTTTCACTACTAAAGCCCCACAGTACCTCAAAGCTTCCTCCCGTGCGTGACGCTTGTCCACTTCGAGGAAGGTGGAATTGATAAACCTACTCGCCCCCATCGTGTTCTTCGCCTCGAACAGGCTGCTCTGCAAGGACAACGGGGGAACAAGGCCCTTTCCCTTGCCGAGAGCTCGTACCTCAACCCCCTCTTCAAACTCCCTTAGCTTAGGGTCGAGCTCAACAAGAGGAGGCTGAGGTACGAACTGGGGAACCTCGCTCCCCCTCTCCTCTTCCTCCACCACCTTCTTCTTCTTTTATAGTGCCCCTCTCTCCTCCCTACCCTTCCTCTTCAACTCCAGCCGTGGCACCTCCTCCTCCACCCCGGCTGAAGTGCTGGGCACTACCTCCTTTCCAACTCCTCCCTTATCCACTTGCTTGGTTGAAGTCTTTGACTTCTTCCTTGGCTTCTTGGGGATGGCCACTCCTCTTGCAGCGCCCAAAAATTTGTCCATTTCAGCTGCAAAATAAGAAAAACACAATATCAATCACACAGCTGTATACTCTATAATCAATACTACAATATAAATTTAAACAAACCTTCACTTAGAGCGCTTGGCTCATAGAGCTCAGCAGCTTCTATGCATTCTACGCTGGTGAGGTACATGATGTTTACTAAATTCCCCCCCCTCCCTCACTAACTTCCCCACCTCTTCCTCCTCATCCTCATTTAAACTAAACTTATTCTGGTTGGCTTTCTTAGCCTTCCAAGAAGACAACACTTCCACCTCAGCATCCCCCCTCTCCCACTCCATATCATCTACAAATAAAAATTTTTCCTTCCATCCTTTAATGGATGAAGGACTCGCAGTAAATAAAGCTCTACTCTCCCTATTTGCTACTCTAGGGGTGAAATAATACCACCCCTTATCTTTCCTGCTACCCCCCTTTAAAACAAAAAAATACTTAAATATATTTACAGTTGGCACATTAATCCCCTGAGCTCTGCAATAAACTAAAAATCCTATTATTGCCCTCATAGTGTTGGGGACTAACTGTGTCAACCCTATGCTGTAATCTAACAATAAACCCACTAGCAACTCAGGAATTGGAAACCTAAGTCCGGCTGCTAAATAGTGGACATACACGGGCATCCAATGATCTCGAGGAACAGAACATGCCCTCTCCTCTACACCAGCTGGCCTAATCAAAACTCATGAAGAAATCTCATAATTCTCCACCAGATAACCCAGGCTATCCTTGGTCCCGAGTTCAGATTTATACTGCTTTACTTCCTCCACTATGTGTAATATCCCAAAATTTTGTGATATTTTAGCATTTGAGTAAGGACCTTGGTGATAGAAAATATTATTGAGGGGCTTAATAGCAAAATTTTCAAAAGTTAAGGGGCTGAAAAGAAAGAAAATGAGATAAGGATCAGCTGCTTTTCCTTTTTCTTTTTGTTTCTTTCTGTTCTTCATCAGACGCGCGGCCTGCTCTTCTTTTTCTGCTCCCCGACTAGCCCCCCCTAAGCCACCGACTTCCTCTTCCTTTGAAAACCGGTAAAAAGGCTTGAAATTTCTTCTTCTTTCTTGTTCAATCACAAGATGTGGGGCTTAGAACTCTCCCTAAAGCCAGACTTTTTCAGATCTGCAGCTCTTCCCATCCCTGTCCGTGATTTGCTCTTGGTTGGGTGAGAATGAATCTGCGGTTTTAGGTAAGGAAACAGCCATGAATTCCTCTTTTCATCCTTAAATTGGCTTGGGTTCACTTTAATTTCCTTTGTTTCCTTCAATTGCCGGT